TGCCAAAGCCGCAATCCCTTCTCCTCCATTCTCCTCTCAGGATCTTGGGCACACATGCACATGCGCCCGACATGAGTTTAAGCCACCGGGTCCGGGACTCGAAATGCCATCGACTACAGGGGAATCCAGCGACACAGCCATTACACTAACTGCTGGTCCTGCACCATGACTTTTCTGATGACCTTATATTTCTCATTTATAGATGAAGAAACTAATATTTGAAAAAGTTAAGTAACTCACCCAAGGTCACAGAGTTGTATGTGACAGAGCCAGAATGTCACCTGGTCTGCTTGACCCTAGAGCCTCTGTCTTATCCACCAGACTATCCAGAAATTGAGGCATTTTATAGGGGAGGGGACAGTGATCCAGTGGGTCTCACTTCCAGGGTAAGCCTCTTAGACCCTTAGAACTAAGAAAAAAGCTTATTTGGTTAAATGAAGTTACATTCTCTAGAATCTTCTAGTCTCCTAAGATGAGGACAAGTTCAGAGGATCTGAAGCATCGCTCTACCTACACCCGCTGTTTCAATCCTTGGTTGGAGAACAGAGGAGATGACAAAATAACAATTGAAGGAGGCAGAAGAAAAATAAAAATTTGAACCTATTTTTTCCCCTTGAGCTATTTTTGGAGATTGGGATTAGATTGGATTCTTTTGGACTTGAATGTCATCCATTTGGGAATGCTTTTGCATCTGAGGTGCTCAGGAGACAATCACAGGGTCCATAGGTAGAGAGGCTAGAGGTTTATGCTTAGTACACCTCTAGGTTCCGTCCTGGGAGAGAGGGGAAAGACCACCTGTAGGTTGCTGGTTTACTGGCCCAGTGATCTCCAGTAGGGAAGGAAACTGGGCTCTGGGAAAGACACTGGCTACAAAACTAAGCCCGAATAGGGGACCAGCAGTTAGCGTAATGGCTATGTCGCTGGACTCCCACGTAGTCGACCGCAGTTCGTGTCCCGGACCCGGTGGCTTAAAACTCATGCCGGGTGCGTGTGAGTGCGTGCCTAAGATCCCGAGAGGAGAATGGAGGAGAAGGGATTGCGGAGTGACCATCCCCCCTGGGGGGGGTGATTTCTCGCTTTCTGTCTCTATGTCTCTGTCTGTCTGGCGAGCGCACGCGCCCTACAGTGAAAATCTCTCCCCCCCCCCCCAAAAAAAAAAAAAACCAACAACAACAACAACTAAGCCCGAATATTTGGCTGACTTTTGCTTGCTTGGGTCTAGCAGAAGGGGGTGGGCAGGAGGTTAAGGAACCTCAACAGATGCCTACAATCAGTGGGTGTTAGTGACCGTTCTTCCGAAACATTGAAAAGATGGTCACCTTGTGCTCATGAAAATCACACTCACACTCAAGTCCCTCTGTCCTGGAACACAAAACAGTATAATGCTTTCTCAGCCTACAAGAGGAATGTTTTAAGAAAGAAATAGCATATAGGAAATACGATGACTGCCCAAGATTCTGACTTAGAGGTGTGAATTCTACTGTCCAGAGTGGTGGTGTCTGCATAGATCTGTTTGTCTGTCTGTAAGGACAAAGATGAAAGGCAATTTGCTATGAAACCCTTCTCCTCTCTCCTCATTGGTAAGGGAAACATGTCCACACACTGACATCTAGTGGTCATGACTGGTCACTGCCGACTTAAAGAGAAAGTTCACAACAAACTTAGAAGGAACCTGGCATGCTGCCAGCCTGTAACAAAACAGCCATGAGCAAAACACAGCCCCTGGCCTTGAGGCTTTCACAGTTTAATGGAGGAAACTGACATACCAACAGTTACTAATAATTTTATTATCATAATATTAGGAAAAAGATGCCAAGTATAATCAAAGCAGAGGACCTCTGGAGGCTTAGGATGACTACCTTTGAGTTGGGTCTTGAAGCATGTCTTGTAATTACCACCATGGAAAGAGGCAGAAAATCCACCGTACGCAGAGGGAACAGCACGGGCAAGTACGGCACAGAAGTTGTTAATTCAGTGTGGCTGGTAAGAAAGAAGCACAGGAAAGAAACCATTTTTAAAAGTCAGTTGGATAGTGGTATTGGTCAAGTGCGAGGCTCTTTGAGGCCAGTCCATGGGGAGGGTTACCAGGTCATGTCTGCAGACCTCTGCGACTGAGTGAGGCATACAGGAGCCCACAATCCAGGCTGCCCGAGGCTGGGGTGAGTCACGGAATCGGGACCCTCTCGGGGGGGGGGGGGGCTCTCTTTCTTGAAGGAAGAAAAAAAATTAAAAAAAAAAAAAAAAAAAAAAAAGAAGAAGAGGATGGAGGGACTAGCAGGTGGCGTGGCGGTTAGTTGCTGGACACTCCCACATGACTGACTACGGTTCGAGTCCAGAACTTAGTGGCTTGCTTTTGCACTTTCCCTCCCTCCCTCTCTCTTTGTCTTTCTCTAGTCAAATTAAAAATAAAATGAATAAATAAATAATAAATAAAACTAAATAAGTAATTCTTAAAAAAATTTAAAAAAAAAGAAGTTGGAGAAAGTTAAGGCCAGAACATGAAGGGCTTGGAATACCAGAATAAGCAAGGACACTACTTAGGATTATTTAGCAGGAAAATAATGGGAAATAATGTGATCAGAATTTGTGGTAAAGTAATGTGGTTGACATTCTGAATCCTCTCCTTATTTGAAATTGCCTATTGAAATGCATAATGAAAAATAGCTAAAACTATAACTATTCCGACCAAAGCAAAAGTGAGGGTCCAGAGTCTAAAGAACAGTTTCCCATCCCAATTCTCCCATCTTTGGTTCATGTGGGTACCATGAGGCAGTGTCTAAGACCCTTGTCTGCTGACTGCCATCATGTATGATTCTATACCTCATGTGACCAACCTCTGCTCTGGCTCTAGAGTCAGCTAGACATGGAGTGTTTGTAAATTAGTTCTAGATCTCTTCCTGTCACTTTGCTGGAGCTGAGCTGAAGATCCCATTTTATGGTAATACATATCTTGTTAATAAATTAACTTTCCCAAACATACATCCAACATCATCTGGCCCCTAGCTCCCAGCTCTATGCTGCTAGAAGACCTAAGAAGGGCAGTGTCTATAGACCAGCCACCTCTGCCATGTCAAGTGTCACTTGTCTATTGCCCAATGTTATCAACTCACATTCCATGTCTACCTACAAAATGCGTGCCATCCCCAAACTCACAAATCATCCATGATGCAATTGGCTCTTACCAAGGGCATGAAAATTGTTGTTTTCATTTCAGGAACTGCCCCCTGGGAAAACATTCAAGAGCCTTCTGAGGAGTGGCTGAATGATCGAGATCTGCAGGATTTTCTGTCCTGTGAAGATGTGTGGTCTCTGGATGACATTTGCTACAAGACAAGAGATTCAAGTCCACAAATTATCAAGAGGGACTGGTCCCCTGATGACAAAGGCTCTCTTATTTCATCCACAGTGGTTATCTCCCACCCTCTTCATATCCACACTTCCAGAGGCACAACACAAATTCCACCCACCAAACAGCGTCTCCCTTACTCCTTCTCATGCTCCTTGCCTTCATTCGCGCCTTGCCCACTCTCTCTGCCTGATGGGTCAGTTTGCTCTCACTTTCCCACACTAACTTTGCTCTAAGCCTCCTTCTTGCCATCTGGGAGCTGACATCTGCCATAAGGCCCCCACCTTTTCTTGGAGGCCTTTACAAAAAGATGTTAACTTTCACTCAGCGACTTTCCCAGTACGTAATTATGTACACAGTGTTTTCCACATGGTTGACTAACTGCTTTAGCAATGGCTCTTGCCTGCCTTGCTTAGGTTAATTGTTATTTTCCTGAGGGCGCGCTGACCAGTGTCCTTTTATGTACCTAGTGCCAGATTCAATAAACATTAACCAGGTGGATATCACACTTCACAACTAATGGGTTGGGGCTGTTCTGTGTCTTACTAGAGAAAATGGAAATGTGGCCCAGCCTGCTGCCTTTCAGGAAGAGCAGCAAGACCTCCTGTCCGTGCACACTTTGTAGCCTCTGAGTGGGTGTCTACCGCTTGCTTACCTTGTTGAGTTGTAACTGTTTTCCTGCCCAGACTCCCTTCATCAAACTGTGAATTCCATGAAGCAAAGAACTACCAACTTCACTGGCTTGGGACCTGGCTCACAGATCATGATCAGAAACTTTCTTTTTCTTCTTTAACGTAGTTTTAATAATATCTCTGGATGCTGGAGACATTTGGGACCTCAGTAAAATTTCCCCCAAACCAGAGGATTCCCCCGTTTCTTCTTTCTGGAATCAGCCTGAATGAAACTCAGGTGGTAAATGCACTGCAGGGGTGCTTTCATGCCGTCTAGTGTTGTTGGGGGCAGGGATGAGCAGGCTTTAGGGGAGTAAGCTTGGGCTGGGTGCTGGTTTGACATCTCTGCCAGTTTCTGTGTGTGCCCTGGATGAGTCACTCACTGTAGGGCCTCAGCTTCCCCATCTACAAAATGAAGGCATTAACTCCTCAGGATCTTCCACCTGAGACAATGTTTAGGATTTCTTTGATTTTTATCTTGGGTATCAGAAAGACCAATTTTTGGATGATCTGTTAAGATGGCTGAGAAATTTTCAGTCAATAAAAGTCCAGTGCTGGCTCTCATTGTCTTCCAAAAAACTATGTCTATGGAAAAACCTGAGGAAGTAATTCAGATGGCAAGTACACATCCAAAGTGGGTCCCATAACACTGTCCTTAGGGCTTCTACGAGCTCTTGCATTCAGAAAAGCAAGTGGTTTTTATCCATAGAAGGCACTGTGTTATTAGGAACTCACCAATGTGGAAAAAGCTCCTGTGGGTTGGGAGATAGACTTGGTACCCCAGTAACAGTCTTCTCACATTATAATCTTACTTGCTAAGTATATTGGAGGCTTTGTTTTTTAAGGTTTTTTGCTATAGGGTGCATAAACTTGCCAGAAAGAGAAAAAGAGAGACAGTGAAAGGGAAAGTGAAAAACCACCTCTCAGGGGGATGGCAGTGCTGCAATTCCCTCTCCTTCATTCTCCTCCTGGGATTCTGGATACACACACATATGTACCCAGAATGATTTTCAAGCTCTGAGTTCGGGACTCAAAACATGGCTGCCATATGGGAATCCAAACCCTAACCATTGCACCACCTGCTGGCCTCACTGGAGACATATTTTGAAGACATCAATTTGACCTTAAATAGCTAAACTTTAGTATCACCAAGGGCTTTGAAATTCAGGTTACCAAGGGCGTTAAGCTTATTTAGGTTGTGAGAAAGAGAACCCTACTCAAGTTAAGTAATAAAGGCCTTATTTTAAAGATATACACATGCATAAAGAGGTCTCTCTGGCTTTACCAGAAGCCAGACAAATCCTAACTACCCTGTCTCACAGTGCCTAGACTAAGAGTATGGTCTAGACTCAGCATCATGCTGAGTTGGTCTGTCCTAGGGGTTGCTGGAGCCAGAATGCAGGGTGCTCACTCTCCTGCTTCCCCTTCAGTGTGACTCACCTGCTCTCTCTTTTCTGAATCTCTTAGTATCTGTTCTTTTCATGCTATTGAGCTTCACCATTTATTTTATATTGCACAATCTAGAGAAATGTAATCACATTGCTGTGGTTAATTACCATAACCCTTGTTTGGGTAGAGCTTGCCTTCAAGTCATACCATAGAAGCCCATTAGCCTATATTGTGGTGAACTTTAAGGTTATGGGCACCTCTCGGTGTAATCAACATTGGCTCAAGGAAGGTTCTGGCAAATAACTGTGGTCACGTGTAAGCTAGAGAGAAGTCCTACCTGCAACTCCCATAGTCATTTATGCATGAACAGGCTCTCTTACAAATGGATGTGTGATGTGGGGACGGTCAGGTTTGATTTGGTGAGGAGAAAAGTCTGGGTAGGAGTGCTCCTGTCTATAATTTGCATAGCTATCATACAAAGTAGTATCAGGTATGTCTTAGATCACTCTAGGGAAGAGAAAGACAAGGGAAAATGAAGTTATCTGTGTATATACAGACACACGCACACACACACACACCCCTTCTGGATTAAAGAAAATATTTTCTGCCAGCCAGAGTACAACGTAGGTGAGTGAAAGGTTGTGTCCCATGGTGGCTTTGCCTTTGCTAGACTTACAGATATAATTATTACTCTTCTCCTGAAGTAGGGGAAGGGGTGAGTGCTAGCATACACTTGCCAGGCACTGGATATTAATTTTTTATTTCTATTCAACTGGTTATCAGCCAAGGTAGTCGTATCTCAGGTTTCCTAGAAGTAGGACCTAAGAAGAGATTCAGGTGTACATGGTTTGCTGAGAGCACACTCTTCAGAAACATCTCCAAGTGAATGAGAAAATCGAATAAAGGAGGGAAGGACTGAGCAATGAGGTGATCTCAGGTAAGATATAATCTTGCCTTGGTTTAGAAAAGTCTAGAGGATAATCTGTGTTGGAGAGTTGTCCCAACCTGAGGCAAGGGATCTGGACTTTTGATGGCTGTCAGTCATTGGATGGGTGGGGTTAAGGGTGGTATGACTGCTCCATCTGATTGTCTCTGGGTGAGTCAGCTCCCATCAGCCCAAGCCAGTTCTTACCATCCCGTGCTTGTTAAGGCCCATGGTGGCAGGGAGAGGTGTGTCTCAGTTAGCAAATGGGGACTGGGCGAAATACCAGCAGCATCTACTACAGGGATCCCTCTGAGTCTACTCTAGGAAGGCTGTTTGTAGCCAACTGAAACCCTGACTGGTGGAGACAAAAAGCAGAACTGACTGGAAAGTAGAGAGGGCTGACTGATCTGAGAAAAGACAGGAGGTTACGTGATCAGAATCCATGGCAGTCTTAAAGAATTAAGAGAAGCAAGTCTTGGTGAGGATCTTTCAGCCATGGTTGGCCAGGAGAGTGTCCCAACTAAATGCTATCGGACATCACCACAGCCACTCCAAGTGAATCCTCATCCTTTGTCCAGAGTCAGCCCTTTGTATGCAAGTGCCTGATTTGTTGAATATAGACCCAGCGTCTGCAGGCCCAGAAGTGGAGAGAGGGTGAGGAAGCTCTTTTCTATTGGGTTAAAGGAAGACAGTACATCTCATTAATAACTCACATCAGGGTATATTCTTCGGAAATAGGAAAAAGGGCTGGATGCTGAATAGAAAAACCTGAGGGATGGCCAGAATACCTCTTGGAAAGCTTGCAAAGGGTATTGTCACTCATGTTTATAGTTACAGAAACTGAGGCTCAGAGAAATAACTTCAATCATTCACTCAGAGCCACTAAGTACTTTCATTTGCTTATTCATCAAAAACCTGCTGAGTGTCGACCATGTGCTTGCTAAACATCATTCTGGGTGCTGAGGACTCTGCAGTGAGCAAAATAGGCATAAATCCCTGCCTTCATTGCCAACATTCCTGTGTGCTGGGGGTGGGCTGATGAGGCAAGAGTGAACATAAATAAAACGTGTAGTATATTATGTGGTGCTCAATACTAGAAAGAAAAATAAATCATGGAAGGAGAGCAGGCTGGTGACTGTATTACAAAGATGATGAAATTTTAGGTTGGGTGCTTGAAGCAGGCCTTGTTGAGACAGTAACATTTGAGCAAAGGAGGTAAGGGAATTGGTCATGTGACCATCTGGGTAAGAGTGTCCCAAGCAGAGGAAATAATAGCAGGTGCAAAATGCTCTGACACATGAGTGCACCTGGCATGCTCAAGAAGCCACGTGGAGAACAATGTAGATGGGGCTGGTTGAGTAGGAGGGAGAGTGGCAGGAGAAAGTAAGAGTTCAGGGTAACTGAGGCTGGTCCATGAGGGCCTTGTAGGCCGTATGACATGCTGAGTAGAGTTTTGATGTGATTGGACTTACATTTCTAAGGGCAGAGTGATAGGCAGAAGCAGAGAAACTGGTTAGGAGGTCCTGCAATAGACCAGATGTGTGATAGTGACAGCTGGAATGAGGACTGTACCTGTGGAGGTGCTGAAAACTAGGAAGGTCTGGCTCTGTAGTAGGCTAAATAATGGCCCCCAATGCATCCAGATCCTAGTCCCTCCCACTGCATATGGCAAACAAGAAGGTGCAGTTGTGGTTAAATTCAAGATCTGGAGATGGGGAGATTATTCTGGGTTATTCCCGTGGGAAAAACAAAATGATAAAGGTCCTTGTAAGAGGGGCGCAGGAGAGTTAGAAAGATGAGATGATTTTTATAGTTGCCAAGATATGGAATCAACCTGCGTGTCCCTTGGTGGACAAATGGATAAAGAAAATGTGGGGGCCAGCAGGTGGCATGGTGATTGGGGCACTGGACTCCCACATGGGTGACTGTGCTTTGAGATCTAGACCTGGTAGCTTGCTTTCCCTTTCTCTTTCTCTCTCTCTCTCTAATTAGATTAAATAGTAATAATAACAGATGTATATAAATAATACATCTTTTTTAAAGATGTGACAAATACATGCAAGTGTGCACTTATTCATACACACACACACACACACACACACACACATAATGGATGGCTACTGAGCTTTCCAAAAGAAGGAAATCCACTCATCTCATGTGGACAAGTCTGAAGGACATTATGCGAAATAAAATGAGACAGCCATGGAAAAATGAGTATGCCAATGTCACTTATTATGTACAATCTGAAAGATTTGAACTCATAGAAGCAGAGAATTGAATGTTATTAGTAGGGATTAGAAAGTGAGGAGCTATTGGTTAAGGAATATATAAAGTTTTATTTATACAGGACGAATACATTTGGAGATTTAGTATGCAGCATATTGACCATAATTAAGAATACTGTATTGTACACCTAAAATTTGCTAAGAGAGTGGATCTGAAATGTTCTTAACCTTCCCCCTCCCCCCCACATATCTATATGAGGTGATGAACACGTTAAATAGCT